CACGATACGTTCACCTGCACCTCTCGCCGCCCACTCCCAAGCGCAAGCTGCCAGCACCACTCCGTGGTCGTGTCGCAGCTTCGCCAACCCAACCATCCTCTACCACCATCGCTTGGGTCACCCCAACTTCCGTACACTTGCCGACATCGCTTCCAAGAATCTTCTTCTTGGACTTCCGTCGGCGCTTCCTCCACCAACAGACTCGCCTGCACCCACCTGCCTGGACTGCACCAAGAGCAAGCTCAGGCAGCAGCCACACCCTTCCTCCCCATCCGTCGCAGCTGCTCTGCTGGACCTAGTGCACATGGATGTGTGGGGCCCAGCTCCAGTCGCATCCCGAGGCGGTCATCGGTACTTTCTTACACTAGTCGATGACCACTCGCGGTATGTTTCTGTGCACCTCCTGCATACCAAGGCGGAGGCACCTGATGTCATCATGGCGTGGGTGCGCCAGGCTCAAGTCACGTTCGGCACTCCTCTGAAGTGCCTCCATTCTGATGGCGGGGGAGAATTTTGCAATGGCAAACTCGGTAACTTCTGTGCGGCCCAAGGGATTCGGCAAACCTTCACGCTCCCCGAAAGCCCGCAGCAGAACGGCATTGCAGAGAGCCGCTACCATACCTTGGTTTAGATCGCTCGCTGCCTCCTCATTCACGCCAACGCACCACGGTCACTCTGGGGATATGCCCTCTTCCATGCGGCACTCCTCTACAATCTTTATCCGCATCCCCACCGGCCCGACACCACACCTACCGCTCTCTGGCTTGGGATCACGCCTTCCGCCCGCTCTCTACGCGTCTGGGGGTGTATCGCGTATGTGTTGCTAAGCCCCCACACGCGAAGGAAGCAAGGTGGCAAGCTTGGTCCCAAAACCCAGACCTGCATGTACCTGGGGCACAACTCCGACTCCCCAGACTACTTATTCCTCAACCCAATCACCAGACAGCTGATTCGCAGCCGTGATGTCGTCTTCGATGAGACACGCCCATTCCACTCTGCGACCACGGGCGAGCCTCCTCCACCTCCCCCGACGATTGTTTGGGCAGACTTCGATGCCCCACCTCCGGCCGCTGCCCCTTCTCCGGGGCCTTCTCCGTCCGGCGTGTCTCACGCGGCCTCCCCTTTATCCTCCGCAGCGGCACCTCCCCCTGCTCCGCCTTCCCCGCGCGTCGAGCCCGGCTCACCAGTCTCCTATCGGAGGTGCCCAGTCCCTCCGATCCCACCGCAGCCGCCTTCGTCTCCGGTCTCTAGTCGCACTCGTTCCAAGGGACCGGCTCCGCCTCTCACCTGGGGACCAGCCGCCTTCTCCATCCGGTGTTCGGTCACCCCGCCTCCTCCTGCCGGGGGTGATGTCCCCTCCATCCGTATTCCCCCCCGTGCACTTCTGGAGGACAGGCATGAGGAGCTGTTTGACCTTCACGCGGTCTGCCAATTTCTCTCTCACATCTTCCCGGACATTACTGACTGCCCTTCCCTCAACTTCACCGAGAACCCGACCATTCCGACTCCTCGCACAAAAGAGGAAGCTCTCTCGGGGCCTTATAAGAAGGAGTGGAAGGCAGCAATGGATGTGGAGAATGAGGCGTTCATTCGCAACAACAGCTTTGACGATGTTGTTCCCCCTTCCGGTGTCAACATCGTCGGCGGAAAATGGATCTTCCGAGTCAAACAACTCCCAGGCAAAGCTCCACTGTTCAAGGCACGATACGTGGCAAAGGGTTTCACCCAGAAGGAGTATCTCGACTTCTTCGAAACATTCTCGCCCACGGCCAAGCTCCCGACTGTGCGCGCTCTTCTTGATATAGCCGCTCGCGGCAACTTCGAGATCAAGTCCATGGACGCCTCCTCCGCCTTTCTCCAAGGCCAGCTCAAGGAGGATGTTCAAATGGAACGCCCACGGGGGTTTCCTGGCACTTACCCTGCCAATAAAGTGTGGAAGCTGAAGCGCCCAGTGTATGGCCTCAAGCAGGCTCCTCGTGAGTGGCACAACAAGGTGAAGGAAGTCCTCCTCGCACTTGACTTCCATCCCTCTGCCTCGGATTCCAGTCTCTTCGTTCGTCACTCCTCCGAGCCCTTCTACATCCTCGTCTATGTCGACGACTTCATTCTAGCCGCCAGAGATCTAGCCGAGATGGCAGCTGTCCAGTCTGCTCTCAGCTCCGCCCTTCTCATGAAGGATCTTGGTGACCTCAAGAACTACCTGGGGATGGAGATCACTCGTGACCGCCAGGCTTGCACGATCACCCTCTCCCAGGAGTCCTACATCGACAACCTTCTCAAGCAGTTGGTCTGCAGCCAAGAGGGTCCTCCGCTATCTACAAGCCACCAAGTCTCACATCCTCACTCTTGGTGGTACCTCTTCAGTCAAGCTCGAGGGATACACAGACTCCTCATGGTCCGATGACTTGACTGAAAGACGCTCCTCCCAAGGGTACTGCTTCACCCTTGGTAGCGGAGTCATCAGCTGGCGCTGCACTCGGTCCTCTGCAGTCTCCCTGTTGTCCTGCGAGGCCGAGCTCTACGCGGGCACAATGGCTGCTCAAGAGGCACGCTGGCTCTCCTTTCTCCTCGCTGAGTTAGGCTACCCCCAGCAGTCGCCCACCCTGTGGTGTGACAACCAGAGTGCCATTCACCTCACCAAGGATCCTGTGTTCCACTCTCGCACTAAGCACATCGAACTTCGTCATTTCTTCATCCGAGATCTTGTTGAGAGTGATCCGCTGACGGTACGGTACATCGCCTCAGATTGCAACCTCGCCGACCTCTTTACCAAGGCTCTCGGCAAGGCTGACCACCATCGCCTTCTCTGTTCCATGGGGCTATGTGCTCCTTGATCGGGTTTGCAGTCTATGGGGGTGTGTTAGAAATAGACTGCAAATACCACTTTTGTATTTGTACTTTTATATCCTAGTTTAGGTTATGAATGTTCAAGTGGGTTGGGGTGTACTCACAAATCCCAACCTCACCCAATTGTGATCCCCCCAATCTCCAATTACCCAATTGGAGATTCCGGAGATCCCAATGGGGATTCCCTCCAATTCCCCCTTCATCCATTCACTCTCACCTTGCCATGTACTTATAGAGCCTTGGGCTCCTTACCTAATCAATCATTTCAACTCTATTTCTTACAGTTTTGTCATCACTCAAAGGTCATCTGTCGATGATGTGTTGTCATCACTCAAACGTCTTTTCTCTATGATTTGTTGTCACGACTCAAAGGTCGTCTGTCGATGGTGTGTTGTCATCACTCAAAGGTCATCTGTTGATGATGTATTGTCATCACTCAAAGGTCATCTTTCTATCATGTGTTGTCATCACGCAAATGATTATTTGTTGATGATGTGTTATCATGACTCAAAGGTCATCTGTCGATGATGTGTTGTCATCACTCACTGCTCATCTGTCTATGATGTGTTGTTATCACTCAAAGGTCATCTGTCGATGATGTGTTGTCATCACTAAAGGGTCATCTGTCGATGATGTGTTGTCATCATTCAAAGGTCATTTGTCTATGATGTGTTGTCATAACTCAAAGGTCATGTGTCGATGATGTGTTGTCATGACTCAAAGAACATCTGTCGATGATGTGTTGTCATCACTCAAAGTCATCTGTCTATGAAATGTTGTCATCACTCAAAGGTCATTTGTCGATGATGTGTTATCATCACTCAAAGCTGATCTGTCAATGATGTGTTGTCATCACTCAAAGCTCATCTGTCTACGATGTGTTGTCATCACTCAAAGGCCATCTGTCTATGATGTGTTGTCATCACTCAAAGGTCATCTGTCGATGATGTGTTGTCATCACTCAAAGGTCATCTGTCTATGATGTATTGTCATCACTCAAACATCATTTGTCTATGATGTGTTGTCACGACTCAAAGGTCGTGTGTCGATGGTGTGTTGTCATCACTCAAAGGTCATCTGTTGATGATGAATTGTCATCACTCAAAGGTCATCATTCTATCATGTGTTGTCATCACTCAAAGGATTATTAGTCGATGATGTATTATCATGACTCAAAGGTCAACTGTCGATGATGTGTTGTCATCACTCAAAGCCCATCTATCGATGATATGTTGTCATCATTCAAAGGTCATTGGTCAATGATGTGTTGTCATCATTTAAAGGTAATTTGTCTATGATGTCTACTCATGTCTCAAAGGACATCCGTCGATAATGTGTTGTCATCACTCAAAAGTCATCTGTTGATGATGTATTGTCATCACTCAAAGGTCATCTTTCTATCATGTGTTGTCATCACTCAAAGGATTATTTGTCGATGATGTAATATCATGACTCAAAGGCCATCTGTCGATGATGTGTTGTCATCACTCAAAGCTCATCTGTCTATGATGTGTTGTCATCACTCAAAGGTCATCTGTCGATGAGGTGTTGTCATCATTCAAAGGTCATTTGTCTATGATGTGTTGTCATAACTCAAAGGTCATATGTCGATGATGTGTTGTCATCACTCAAAGCCCATCCTGTTAGGAATAGACTGCAGATACCACTTTTGTGTAAGAAATAGAGTTGAAATAATTTTTTAGGTAAGGAGCTTAAGGTAAGGTGCAAACAGAAGCTGACAAAGAGGCTGGGAGCACGGGGAAGTTACAATGTATGAACTCCTAAACCAGTCAATCCAACAGTGCAAACAGCCCGCAGCATATCCATGTGATGAATCTCATTTCAAGCACTCTCGCGCCCCACACTTGCTACCTGTTACCTCGCATCAACAGCTTTCTTACCTGCCTCATTGTGAGGGGCAACTCTCACCTGCCTCATCATGAGTGAATACTTTACAAGTAGGTCGAGACTCCTCAAAAGACCTATAGGCACTAGAGCAGGAGGGCCCCTAAAGCCACCACACGTCCACTCCCTCGCACCACGCAGCTTCCTCCCTCTCACCTTCTTGGCAGCGGTGCGGTGAGTCCCCGCTGAACGCCACCTGGCTCTCGTGCAGGTGGGGGGCGTAGGGGCACAGGTCTCTGTAGCGCGACGAGGCGTTGAGCCACGCTGGAGACTGCGGCTCGTACACGCGGTACATGGGCACCTGGGGGGGCACGGGGCAGCGCACATGGGGCATGGAGCAGGGGGGATGTGTATGGAGAATGGGGCATGGCGTATAGGGCACATGATGTGGGGCATGAGGGGCAGCATGATATAAAACATCCGCAGCCAACTTAGAATTCATATGGCAGCTGCTCTTGCCTCACGAGCCAAGCCTCCCGGCCTCATCACCCTGGCTCGATTCGGGTTGGCCCGTGCTGCCTCCTCGCATACTGGCACGCCAGGAGTACCTGCCGTCACTGCGACAGTTACCATGTGATTTTCTGGCCATCCGTGCCACTTCCGCAGCCTGTGAGCGGGTGTTCAGTCGTAGAAGGAACTTGATCATGTGGCAGCGCCACCTGCTTAACGCCAAGAGGGTGCGCGCCTGCATGACTCTCAAGATCCGGCTGGCGTCGCAAGCCGGCGAGGTCTCGATGGGTGCCTCCATGAGCGCACCTTGAACACCTTGAGGCCCTTCTTCTCGTGGCGGTCAGCCGCCTTCACTATGAGTCGCCATGCCTCCTCCGTAACAAACTGGTTGCCATCGAACGCCAGCACCCACTGCGCCCCCTCCCTGCGGCCATGGTCCAGCATGAAATTGCGTGCCTCGTTCAGCGCTGGGCATGCAGGGCAGAGGGTTGGAAACATGGGCAGGAGGGGATGCGGAGGGGGGAGGGAGGTGAAAGAAAACTGGTAAGGGGCATAAGGAATTCACAAGCAGATGGGAGAGGTTTGAGGGCAGCGCGCAACCACGGACATAACTATGATTTTTGCTCCTCCGCCTCACTCTGAACATGATCATGCCATAATCAACAACAATGCATCGCTAGACGTCCTGGTTTACAGCAACCTCCAACTCCACAGCGAACTCTTGCAGGCCAGCACAGGCAAGCTCATTACCGGTGACAGTGGTGGTCCAGCGAGAGGGGTCGAGCGTGGCGATGTAGGAAAGGTTGAGTGGGCGAATGAGAATGTCCTGATGAGGAGGGTGTCATGGTGGTGTGGAGGTGGTTTTTGGGGGAAGAGTTTGGATGGGAGGTCGAAGAGCACTGGGTGGCAAGCACGAGCAGTAAAGCAGCTGTGAAGACAATTATTAGAGCATAGAGATGGATGGAACTTGCAAACAGCACAACGGCCAATTACATGCCCACACATGTCCCAAACAGCCCATGCATAGGAACGAAGACACGCCTACAATGCCACAACACACGCACACACACAAACACACACCCCCCCCACACACACACACACAAACACCCCCCTCCCCCTCGCGCACACACCCACACACGCACACACACGCAGACACACGTGCACACACACAAACACACCGCACATGCGCATGCACAAACACACGTACGAGCACACACACACACACACACGCACGCACGCAGAAGCAAACACACACACACACACACACACACACACACACACACACACACACACACACACACACACCTACACGCGCGCGCGCGTACAAGCGCACAGGCACGCATGTAAAATCGCACACGCACACACACACACACACACACACACACACACACACACACACACACACACACACACACACACACACACACACACACACACAGACCCAGACCCCCACTTGCGCGCATACACATGCACGCATGCGCACACACACACGCACGCACGTGCACACACACAAACACACCGCACACGTGCATGCATAAACACAACACACACACACACACACACACACACACACACACACACACACACACACATGCATTCACACGCACACATACACGCATGCACACACCCACGCGCGCGCACACACACACACACACACGCATACGCACACACACACACACACACACACACACACACACACACACACACACACACACACACACACACACACACATACACACACACATACATACACACACAATGACCTGCACCTCGTCCCTGACCCCGTGCTCCCTCATGGCCTGGATGGTGGCGGCCTGCCACCCAGATGCGAAGAGCCTTCTCTTCACCCCACTAACCCCCCCCCACGCACCTGGTCGTTGACCCCATGGCCCTTGAGCGCCTGGATGGTGGCGGCCTGCGTGGTGGCGTTGACGAGCTGGTTGAGCACCCAGAGGCGGCGGCAGCCCGGCAGGTGGGGGGGCTCGTGCTGCAGCGAGTAGAGCGAGTTGAGCAGCAGCTGCTCCCCGCACTGCAGCGGCGCCATGTCGTTGCCCAGCAGCCGGTACAGGAAGAATCGCGCTGCAGTTGGGGCAGAGTCGGGAAGGGGGGCCGGAGGCGAGGGGGAGAGAGGGGTTGATGAGGAATTGGAGAGGGCAGGAGAGGCTGGAAGGGGGAGCGAGGAGGGGGAGGGGGCAAGGGAGGGAGCCAGTGAAGCGGAGGAAAGGGGGGGGTGGAAAGGAGGGGGGGTTGCTTCTGGGAGAGACGACGGCGAGAGGGCTCGTGGAGGAGGGTGTGCGGGCGCTGGCCGGAGTGGCGTGGTGCCCTTCGGCTCTGCGCCAACAGCTTTTCCACCATCGCTGCTGGCAGTACAGTTTCCACTGCCCGTATTGTTTCCACTGCCTGCAATGTTTCCACTGCCCGCACTGTTTCCACTGTCCGTGCTGCTGCCACTGCCAGTACTGTTTCCACTGCCCGTACTGTCACTGCTAGTACTACTAGCAGCAGTACTGCTATCGCTGCCGCCGGCAGTACTGTTGTCACTACTGCTGTCACTGGCAGTACTGCTGTCACTGTTCGTGCTGTTGCCACTGCCAGTGCGGTCACTGCCAATACTGCTGTCACTTCCTGTGCTGCTGTCACTGCTAGTAGTATTGCCACTGCCAGTACTGCTGTCACTGGCTGTACTGCTGTCGCTGGCTGTACTGCTGTCATTGGCTGTACTGCTGTCACTGGCTGTACTGCTGTCACTGGCTGTACTGCTGTCACTCGCTGTACTGCTGTCACTGGCTGTACTGCTGCCGCTGCCCGTACTTCTGCTGTAACTGCTGGTGTCACTGCCACTGGCAGTACTGCTGCCACTGGCAGTTATGCTTTCACTAGCAGTACTGCTGTCACTGCTGCTATCATTAGTAATAGAAGTGTTGGCACTTCCAGCACTGCTGTAGCTGCCGCCACCTGTACTGCTGCCGGCACCTATGCTGTCACAGCCCCACCTATCACTGCTCGCGCTGCCAGTATCTGACTGCCCACTGCTCGCGCTGCCAGTATCTGACTGCCCCCAACTCGCGCTCTTCCCCCAATCCAACCCCCCCTCCATCCACTCTTCCCCTTCCTCCATCGCTCTCTCCACGGCACTCCCCTCGTCTGCCTCCCCCGTCCACGCCCCTCCCTTCCTCCCCATCCCCTCGCATCCGCCCTCCGCCCCTTCCCATTTCTCCGACAACTCCCTTCCCCTCACCATCCTGCTCCCGGTCCCATCATCCCCCTCTACTCCGCGCGCGGCGCATCCTGCCAGCCCCGCCGACGTCTCCGCCGTGCTTCGCGCGGTAGGGGCAGCGCAGGGGCTGAAGGCGGGCGCTAAGGGCGCGGGGAGCGCGAGGAGCGCAAGCGCGAGGGTGTAGAGAAGGCAGAGCGCGGCGGCGCGCTGGACGAGAGGCGCGGAGGAGAGGCGGCGGGTGCAGTGGAGGGCGAAGAGGGAGAGCGAGGAGAGCACGCCCAGCGTGAGCAGAGGGGGCAGCAGCGCGCACGACCGAGGGGGAGCGGCCAGCGGCATTTGCGCTGCGCGTTGCGGTAGCAGTGGGGATGTCGGCGCTCTATTGGAGCCTACTACCAAGAGCTTGACCTTACTTAGTACTCTTCCACGGTCACCGCACAATCTTAGCGAAGTACCGTCACAAAAGGGGATCCCAAAAGCATGATTGGCAGATTGCCCAAGAATCGTGTGATTCGTTCAAAAGTGGAGCATGCGTGCCAACCGCGGCTCAGGTTCAGAGTTGGATAATGAATCCCCCCATGCATGCACAAAAGGGTGGCAGAAGGGACGTGACCTGAGCCTGCGAGATCTGTGTTATCGCAATGGGGACCTGATCGGAGTCTGCAAGGTCTAAACCAAGACCTGAAGACCTGGGTGTGAATGGCTGGGCGAGGTGCGTGGAGGTTCAGTGCTGCTGAGTGCTGGCAGTGGAGCTCACTGCCCAGTAATACCCCTCACACAAACTCACGGCTGGGGGCAGCTTTGGGGTGGATGACTCCGAACATGGTGGTCAAGGGCTTTTCGCCAACAGTACTGCCAGCCTCCCACACAAGACTTATGTTTCAAGGGTTAACTGCCGTGAATTTGATCCTAATATAGTGCATTTTCAGGACAGCCAGGAACAATAAGAGCTCGATTTGTTGGAACCCTAAACTTAAAGCCGCGCTACACATTCCCTAAGTATTTCAAATTATAAACATTGGGAGGCGGATTACTGCATAACTTCACCGATGAAGAATGCACCTCGTCCACCAGTGTAAACAATCTCACGCCCAACATGTGGGATTTGTGTTCTACAAATCCCACATGCTCTTGTGATCCTAGCCCCGCCCCGCAATTTTGTTCCGCGACCCCCGCGATTTCGTTTTCCCGCAGCTCGAAATGTTGTTCCCCTCCCCCACCCCCGTAAATTCATTCCCCCTCGCCACGCCATTTTGAATGTTTAGGACACGGTACATTGCGTCCGGTTCGCAGGACCACAATCGAATCTGATAGAATACCGTATGTTTGAAAACGCATCAAAACCATTTGAAACCCATTAAAACGCACCACTCCATGGTCGATTTCGGCAAAACGGACTCAATGTACTCCGTCCTCGCCCCGCAACTTTCGTTTTCCCCCGCGTCAGATTCGTATCCTTCCCCCCCCCCCCCCTCTCCCCCCCACTCTGCCGTTCCGAATGTTTACAACCTCCCAGCGCCAGACATTTTGTCCTGTTGTCCCACGAAATTGCGAGGCTACGAACCAATTGTAATGTCTCGCAGTTAGCCACCCATTCGCCAAGCTCGTGACCCAATCAGCGCGACCCTAGCTCAATTTTCTCTGTTCATTTTTTCACATGCCAGGGAACGTTTACCGCGACCTTAAGGGTAGTGTCTAGCTGAACTCTTCAGATTTTTAGTGATGGCTCTACCACCCCGAAAGCACAAGCAGTGAAGTAGCAAGGATCTGGAACTTAGCTTTCACCAGCCCATCCCATATCCTACCCTAGAGCAATCGCTAACTCCTTTAGCGAATCTAGTACGAGAGAATCCAGCTCGCTTCTCACGTCTAAGGGTGGGGATCATCCGAACCTTGAATATTAAGGATTTGTCTCCGATGAACCTGAATCTGTAAGGGTGGCCTAAAACCAAAAGTGAGCCCTGCTCCCACACTCGTGAGGAGGAATGCAGAATTTGGGCGAAACGAACAAGAACCGATACGTGTACGGCGGTGGTTCACAGCCAAGCACTCTGTCGTCGGCTATGATAAGTTCTCAGGTGATGGTTTTTCACAACACCCGTTGCACCTTACTATTCGTAGTAGACTTCTCGCCTGAAACTACTTCTGCCATACAAACGGGACGATAAGCTGGATAATTACTACGAACGGTCCACCTTACTAGTGGTGGGGGGGGGGTTCACTCCAATTTAGATGTTCTCTTATGCCTGCCCGCACATAACATAGATTCGCTAGTTACCATGCCAGGTTTGATCGTATTGACGAGGCTTATCAAGACTAACCAAATCAATCCAATGTTAAATAGTGATTGCGCCACATTATTTTCCAGGTTTGCGGTTGCAAAAAGCCCGAGTTAATTCAGCAAGTTGTCTGAAAGTTAGATGGCTTCTAGAATTTGGGTCGTATTGAAATATATTTGCACGGCAATAGTTTACATACATAGTTACCGTATTCCTACTGTCTAGCTTTGGTAGGAACAACAAGGAGACTTAGCGAGGAATACTGTCCACGCAAACTATTGAGATAACGTTGGACTAAGAAGCTATTCGCTAAGAAATATGAGACTAAGGGGCTACTTTTGGGGCACATACATCAATCAATCGTATTATTTAGTAAAACAAAAACATCATTGAATCCGAAACAACATTTTCAAGCAGGGTTGAAAAAATCTAAAACCTATGAGGCCCATCCGTGCGACTCGAGGTAGCATCAAACCTACACTCGTGGCCCTGCGCATATTTAGGATCGATGGCATCCCAAGTCACGTACCAGGTCCCTATGTTTTTTTTCAGCCCTAAAATACAATTAAATATTCTTGATATGATTTACATATTGGTAATGCCTAACAAGATGCTAAATAAAAGTATATATTCTCATATATTGGACGGTTGCTCTCTTGAAACCTATTAGGGCATGTTGGAAGTACGATCGGATGGACCATCGACTCCCATTATCCGATCATTTACATCTCTACCTCCCAACAATAATTTAGAAACGAACAAAATTGGACCCCATTGTATCTGACCTCCGGTCCGGTCGCATCATTTCGACCTCTTGCTGCACGCTCTGAGGCAAATAGTTTCTTAGCTGTAGGTGAATCATCAAACACTAAAGACAAAGTGAGAAACGTACGTCTGTCTCGGCGATGCCTTTATCGTGAAAACGTTGCACCGGACAGTTGTTTCCACCTGAAACAAGACTGGCTGCTGTGAGCCTTTAACACCTCTTCCAAGGAACACTCCACGTCAATGACCGAGCCGCGGGGAAAGTATCGGTGGTGCCGGTAACGCCTAGCAAAAACGGATTGTAGCGGATATTTCTACTGATTTTTCGGCCGCTAGCATCTTGTTCTGTTCGGTTTCAAGTATCTTAATCGAGAGTCACGAGGCTGTCGCGGATTGCGAAGAGCGCGACGAAAACTTCGCCACAGTTTCGCATGGAATGTAAGGATGATCTGGAGTCAAACGATATGGAGTGATCCTTGGAAGAGGTGTAGACGGTCAGCATTGCACCGACGAGGGATATCTTCGCGCCAAACATGGACCTTGTATGACTTGCGTGACGAGCCAAATTGGTAGTGTATATACTGGCCAATAGCGTGCTCCACTCCCCATAAGGGTGCTTCGCCTTTACCTCAAACACCCCCAGATCGTAGGAACTCCATTGAACTCTATAGCATCTCCCTTATTGAGTAGAAGCAATTTACTATTTCGTCATCCAAACCATTAGACAGCTGTACACTCCACGAGCACGAAAAGCACAAACAAAAAATGGGTAGCTGGCCCTCAAAAGTCAGGCTAAAATGCTCTCTATGCCTGTATATCATGTTTTTTATTTCTGCTTTCCATGGGCTGACTATTCAACCATCACCCTTGTGCACAATAATAAACATGTGTCAGATGTTTTCATAACTGAGCAAATACAGTATGCTATGCATCAGGGCCTCATATTGCATGTTTTTTTACCCTAATTAAGGACAAAATCAATTCTTTTCGGAGGGTGACCCTAATGATGGTCTCCGATACCATAATCACACGGATAGACGCCGCTAGGGGCGTTCATAGAACTGGTTTGAAAACGTGGGAGGGGGGGTATCAAAGTTAACGAATGACTAGAACCATGGTATACAAGGAATATAAACTAGTGGGTTGTACTCTCTAAGGCACAACCGATTGTAGTCTCTAACAATATACAAAGATATGTTTCACACACCCCCTAGACTACATAGGGGTAGTGCCTGGTGGGAGACAAGCAGCTTAGGGTGGCACAACTAGTCCAACCTCTGAGACAAGAGTCTGAAGACCAGTCAAACGAGTACAAACAAGGCAAGAGCAAAACCAGGGCGGTACTACTAGTCCAGCCACTTGGAAGAGGCCACAAGGCCAGTCAGCGTAATATATGTAAAGGTCAGTACACAATCAAGGTCCTAGCAAATGAGAGGCTACAGGAACGAGAGCAAGCTGTACACAGTGCTGCTGATGATCTTTAGGCGCAAGCGCCTTCGTAAAGATATCAGCTCTGTTGACACCGGAGGCCAAGTGTACTACGCGGGCCTGATGTCGCTGCTGTAGCTCGCGTAGGAGGAAGTACCGCAGTAGGATGTGCTTCGCTCTGCCCTCGAGTCTGGGCTCCTGACACAGGAGGATCGTGGCCCTATTGTCAGCATACAGGACCGGGGTAGAGCTAGGCCGCTCACCTAAGTCTGTGAGCAAGAAATTTAGCCAACGGAGCTCCTGTGCCACCATGGCACCAGCGTAGATCTCAGCTTCACAGCTAGACTGGGCAACAGACGACGAGCGGGTGGACCGCCACGAGACAGACCTGCACCAAGGTTAAAACAGTAGCCCTGGGAGGACCGGAGAGTCTCAGAGTCGTCGGCCCAAAAAGCGTTTGTGTACCCGGTAAGGTTCACTGGTCTGCGTCCTCCTAGCACTCGCCCGAAGCCCGATGTACTTGCTAGATAACGCAAAACCCTCTTAGCTGCCGAACAGTGCTGTGGTCGGTGTCTGCCGGTGGCCACAAAGTGGGCCAGGATGCTGAGAGGGTATCTGAGATCTCGACGAGTGCAAGTCATCAGGTACATGAGGCAACCCACCAGCACAGCAGAGAGTCTGTGGTCTACTGGTAGAGGGGTGGGCTGTGCGGAAGAGAACTGAAGGCCAAACCTTTGAAGGACCTGGCGCACCAAGTGTGACTGTGTGAGAGTGATGGTGCACGCTGCTCTGTTCTTGGAGATCTCCAAGCCAAGGTAGCAGCGCAGCTCTCCTAGGTTAGTGCAGGTGTATCTCCTCAGCAGCTCGGCCTTCACGGAGGCCAGCGCGTCTCTGTCTGCAG